CTCTCTCTCTCGCGCAGGAGTCGGAACTCAACTGTCGTTCTGTTGGCGCCGCGTTTGTCGTCAAACACGTGGAGACGTCACGTGACCTCGAGTTCCAAGTGCTCGAGTGTCTGGAGATCGGCGACTTGGTCTCCATCATCGAGTTCGACTCCGTGGTCGACGGGAGCGCGCGCTTCTGGTCGAAGGGCAAGAAAGGCTTTCAGGTTTGCATCAATGAAGGAATGTGCGCCCAAATCTAATCACGTGACCCTTAGGTCGGGTTCTTGCCCTCAGATTGCGTGCAACGGATCTCCAATTCGTTGGAGTCCTTCTCATTGTTGACGACATGTGGCGGACGACAGGACGACAGCGAAGACGACGACTGGCGACGACACACGAGTTTCCGCAAGAAAAAGGATTCCAGAATTTCCGCATTCTTTCACAAATGGCGGCAAAACCGCATTCAGAGCGAAGCGACGCCTCCGACGACACCGACGACGACACTCGTGTTCGGAACAGATCTCTGTGAACACCTTTTCGACCAGAAAACGCAAATTCCGGAAGTTTTGCGATTCTGTATTGAATTCATCGAAAAGAACGGAATAATTAACGGAATCTACAGATTGTCCGGAATTTCGTCCGAAATCCAGAAATTGCGGCAAATCTTCGACCGCAAAGAGATTCCCGAATTCGACCACAAAGACGTCCACTGCGTTTCCTCGCTTCTCAAACTCTACTTCCGGTCGCTTCCCAACCCTTTACTCACTTTCCATTTGTACGACGCGTTCGTCGTCGCCATCAGAGAGACGACGCCGTCGTCGTCGCGTCGTCTCTCCCAAATTCGTCGTCTCGTCGCGCGTCTGCCGCCGCCGCACGCGCGCACTCTCGCAGCGCTCGTCAGGCACTTGAATCTCGTGTCGAAAGAGTGGCCGAAAACGGGAATGAATGCCAAGAATCTGGCCATCGTGTGGGCGCCGAACCTTCTGCGCAGTCGCGACCTGGAGAACCGGTTGGGCGCGGATTTGGCCGCTCTTCAGGTGATCGGCATTCAAGCGGTTCTCACCGAATATCTCATCGACAACTACGACCACGTGTTTGCGCTGAAAGAGCCGTAAGTGTCGTCCTTCGCGTCTAATAGTGTTTAACAATGTGTTTCGTTGCAGAGAACGCGCGACAGTGAGAGACAGTTGTCGTCACTCGACGTCTTTTTGTCGTCTTTTGCCAAAAGAACTCGTTTTTCGCGCCAAAAGTTTGAATTCTTTTTTCGCAAAATCGCGAAAAATGGAGAAAACTTTCGAATCGTTTCTGAAATTCGCGAAAATCCAAACAATAGAAGATTTGAATCGAATTTCTCCGCAATTTGTCGAAAATTCGGTCCAATTTTTGCCCTTTTTTTCCACTCAAGAAACGCCCGAAACGTCACTTCCGGTCATCACGTGTTCGCGAACTCACTCTCCGGTTCACGTGACGCAAGTCATTGTCGCGAACGACGAACAGAAGCGCAGACTCAGAATCGAGAGACTGAAGAGCGAGAGAAGACAACAATTGAAACAAATGTTCGAATCGAAGCCTTTGCCGACGCCTCGCAAAACAGTTGCCAACAAATGGAAGCAAATCGCGCCAAAAGTAGACACGAGACGACCGGCGACGACACCTGTGCCCACACCGCGTCGGCGCAGTGCGGACGCGACGCCACCGACGACGACGACACTGAAGATCACTGTTTTGAAAACAAAGTCCGAAAACAAGAGAAAGACTTTTGAAACAAAATTTGTTTAAATTTTATTAAATTTTTGTACAGTTTTTAATTGTTATTGTCTTTCGTTTGAGACGACATTCTTCGCGCGCTCCAAGTCTTCGAAAGCCAGAAACAACTGATTCTTGAGTTCCGCGTCGTCGCGAGTGTCGTTTCCGTCGTCTTCTTCGTCGTCGCACTCTTTCTCCAGAAGCGACACTTTGGACGACACGCTTTCCAACAGATGTCTCACGTGATCGCGTCGTTCGTCTTGACGTCTGGAACGACGGAAAGTGAGAAATCGGACACGAAGTCACGTGACACTTACGGAGCGTCGAGAGTGCGCAACACGTCCTTCGCGTCCAAAGCGGCGCTCAATAGCGCGTGAGTTGCGGACAACAGATGGCGCTGTTTATCGGTTTCGCGCGAAGAGAACTCGAATTTGGGTTTTTTACACGTTTTCAACCAATGATTGATTAAAAAGCAATTTCTTCGCGAAAAACGAATATATTTCGGAAAACGACACGAAAAGCAGAACTATTGACAAAACGATTGTTAGAATCGCGCGCAAAACGCCTTCACTTACGTATCCTTCGGACGGAACTTCGGATTCGCCGTCGAAATGCATGCAATGCGCGTCTAAACAGGGAATCGGCGTCAATATGTCACGTGATTGTCTTTCATGCATACATACGTTGCCACGTGAGACAGAGCTCGCACTGAACCATTAATCCCGACTCTTCGCGCGCGTCACACACGCAGTGAACCAATTCCTCGATGTCGTCGTTCTCGTGGATCTCGGCGACAGTGCGCGCGTCCCAAAAGGGCTATTGTTATCACGATTACAATCATTGCATTACATTTACTATTAATTTCTTACGAGAGTTGTGTTGACGACGATTGGCGTCTCTTTGACGACACTTGTCGTCGGAACGATAGACGCGACGACAGGTGTCGTCGGCAGCGAACAAACTGTTGTCTCGTTTTGTTCGATTCGATTTGATTTTCGAACGGCTGTCGAAGGCATAGATTTCCGCACATATTTCCGCTTCAATCGACTCTTTGAAGACGTCGTCGTTGTCGTCGGCGGCGGCGTCGGGACGTCACTCGAGACTACACTCGGCGGCACCGGTTTGACGGCCGCGGGTTTGGGTGTAATGGGAGGCGGAGTCGCGACGACGGGCGTCGGTGTCGTCGCAGACGTCGTCTCGATCTTTGGTTTGTCGTCCGATTTGTGGTAATGCTTGAGATGTTGCGCCAAAAGACTCTGTTTGCGGAAGCCTTTGTTGCAGTCGTGGAAATGGCACTTATAGTCGTTGTGGTCGTCCTTCACGCGGAACTCTTTGTTCATCGTCTGCGGGATTCTGAGTCCCGAATAGTTTTGCGGCATTTTCTCGATTTGACTCGTTTTGACGCGCTTTCGGTAGCCGTCGTAGAAGAGCACCAAAACAGTCTTCTGCGCGTCGAAGCGCTCCACAATTGTGGCCGGATATGGCCTGTTGTCCGTCCAACGCGCCAACACCTCTTCGTGCACTTCGAAGCGCGCGCTGTCGTCGTTGACGCCGTTGCCGTCGTTGGCGTCGCTCTTCTCGCGAATCAGATCCGAATCCAAATCAAACCATTGGTCGTAACGCGAGCTGAGAAGAGCCAATCAGAGAGTTAGACGTAAAACCAATCACAACAATACCTCCAGCGCTCGAAGTGCACCAACAGTTGACGCCGGTCTTCACTGAAGGACACAATCTTCGCCGAATACCAGTCGCCGACCACATCCCGCGCTTCCACGCGCTGTCCAACCGTCCACTTGCAGTCCGGCGGCGCCTCTGCTGTCGTCGCTGTTGTCGTCATTGTTGTCGTCGCTGTCGTCGTGGGTGTCGTCGACACGACACAAGTCTTTGTCTTTTTGTTCATATTTTGCGACAAATTTCTCTGACTTTGAATCGGATTTTGCGTCAAATTGAGAACCAATTCGTGAACAGATCTCTGAGCCGTCGGTCTTCGCGGACGTCTTGCTGTCGGACGAGAAGTCGTTTCCTTGTCGTCCAACTCGTCGTCCATTTTGAACGTAATTTGTGTCACAAAAACATTACGTAATTCATGAACGGCTCGTCAATGGAGACAAATATCGCGACAAATATTGAATCGGATTTCGGCGAAGATTTGGCCACGAATTCCAACAAAGAGAATGTCATCGCAAACGGATCCCAGAGTTCGCAAAGACACCGCTTCAAGGGTGAGATTGTGATGGCTTTGCACACATTGTAATGCCTTTCGTCGCACTAGTGGTCAAACTGGTCTCTTCCGAACCCTATCTCAGGGGTCGTTGGAATTGCAAGGACTTCATCAACAAAGACGTCGATCTGACGACACCCGCGACGACGACGACGACAGCCAACGACGCGACGGTCGCCGCAACACAACAACAGACGCCCTCCGCAGCCGTCGCGACGTCAGTGACGACGACCACAACCACGACGTCTGGCGCCGACTCGACGACGACACCGAACGGCGTGTAAGACGACGACCGACGACACGAACGACGACAACACTAACAATGCGTTTGTCTTTCAGAGCGATCGACAATAAGATCGAACAGGCGATGGATCTCGTGAAGAGTCACCTCATGTTCGCTGTGCGCGAAGAAGTGGACGTCTTGAAGGAACGCATCAAAGAGCTCGAGTCCGAGATCCACATTCTGCGAGCGCACGCGACGTCCGACGTGTTGCAACTGGTTCTGCAGCAGCAGTCGGGCCAACAGATGGCGCCACAGGAGAGACAACGCGAACAACAATTAGAATAGTATTTATTTTGTAATAAAATCTTTGGTCTTTAAACCGAACTGTCTTTCGATCGTCCGATGAATGGCTCGAAGAGCGCGCTCTGACCGCTAGAGGGAGACAACAGGTGTTAGTATTAATAGTAAGAGAATCGCGACTCAACTCGAAGGCGGGGTTTTCCACACAATGCACGGCGCGTGAAGTCATCGACGAATGGCTTCCGAAAGCGTAACAATTAGCGACAGAGCGAGACTTTGCCAGAGTTTACCTGATGGTCGTCTTGGCCGACGTCGCGGGCGTCGCTGTCGTCGTGGACGTCACGTGATGTGTGATGAAGTGAATGGCGCCCACTTTGTAGCGCACGTAGAAAACGACGTCCATTGCGACCAACAATAGGATGATCAGCGCGAGAGAGACGCCGGCGATGAGGCCGACGGAGAGCGACGGCGCTGCGGTCGTCGTGTCGTCTCTCGGGTCGTCGTTTGTGTCGTCTGAGAACCAATTGATGAGAAAAGGGAACAAAACGGACGCAAAACTGACCGGAAGTCTTGAACACGAGGTTTTCGCTGTCGGAGAAGCCGAGTTCATTGTAAGCGCGCAATTCGAGCCGATAGTAAGTGTTGGGCCGCAACTGCTTGAGCGTGTGTGACGTCATGGACTCTGACGTCATGGAGACGGTGGCCGTCGTGACGTCAGACACGTCCTCGTAGGCGTCGCGCGTGGGAACGACGCGCCACCACTTGAGCTCGAAATACTGAATGCGCCGCCCGTTGTCCGGCGGCAGAGTCCACGTGACGGCCATCTGCGACCCGAACGGAGAGACCACGCGTTTGTCGCCGTCTAGCGGCAGATTCGCGAACCGCGGTCTCTCGGGTCGCGTCTCGCGCGCCGTCGCGACCAAACGCTCGGCACTGAAGTCGCCTAAAGGGAGACACTAGAGGTTAGCGTGGGCTAGAGGTCGACAGCGACTAGAGACCGATTCCGACGATGTTTTCTGCGGCGAAACGAAACAAATATCGGGTGTTGGGAAACAAGCGGTCCACGAAGTAGAGCTC